GGCTCTGATTCTTTTCTCGGTGGGAATATATGAAAGTGGCGGCTGGGGGTTGGAGTTGGGGAGAGAGGGTAAGAGTGGGAAGTCGGAAGAGTTTTCTTTTCTTCCCCTCCTTCACCTCTATTTCCCCAGTTTCCGACCCCTTAGACATTTTGAGATCCAGGAGGTCAGGCTTGGGGGGCGCATCGTTGTCATGGCGACACTACACCTCAGAACCAACAAAACTGGGGTAAGGAGGAGGTGACAGGTAATTTGACTGCCTGTGTCAATCTCTCTGATTCTTTCTTTCTCTGTCTCCTTCAATTATTTGATTTCTGTCTTTTTGAGGAAGAAGATCACTTCCTAAGCTTCTTGTGTTTTCCAGGGGTATCCTACCTCATTCTGAGGTTGCTCTGGCACTGCAGAACTCCTGTCTGCCGCCCCTAACCTTGCTCTCTCCTAGCCCACTCCCTTCTCCCCACACCAAACCCACAACCATTTAGAAATAAGTCCTTGGGTCCTTCTAGCAGTCCCACCACACCGACTCGCCCAAAGATTCTGGGCGACGCTGGTGGCACAGAGATTTGAGGTGCACGATTCGCACTCAGGCTCACATCCACTTTTATTTCCTTTAATATTCGAGGCTCCTACTTTACTCTCGTCTTTTCCTGTCTGGAGCGCAGCCTGTCTGCCACACGAGGGCGCCCCATCCCTGAGAACGAGTGTAATCATTGCCCTGTAATTACACCCAGATCCCTCTCTGTAGGACCTAGGGTCTTTATCTCTCTCCCCCACCCCCTCCTCACCCCTTCTCTCCTCCCTACGCAGGTTGAATAAAAGTCCCTTTCCCAAGGACCCAGGCGGGGACAGAGAAACATGCAGACCCAGGCAGGACAAAGGCACTTCTCACCAGAGGGAGAGAGAATCTTCCCAGGACCCAAGGCAGGGACAAAGAGACCATTCCTGGAGAGGATACAGATCTGGGACAGTAGGACAAAAAGACAACTCTAGGGAACTCTAGGGAACCTCGAAAACACACACACACACACACACACACACACACACACACACAGAGGCAAACACAGAGACCTGGGACAGTAGTACAGAAAGACAACTGCAGGGAACCTTGAACACACATGTAGACAGACACATAGATCTGAGACAACAGTGGAGAAAGACAACTTCAGGAAACCTTGAACACGCACTCACAGACATACACACACACAAACACACAGATCTGGGACAATAGTACAGAAAGACAACTCCAAGAAACCTTGAACACACACAGACATAGACAGATACAGAGACCTGGGACAGTAGGACAGAAAGACAACTCTAGGGAATCTGGAATACACACACACAGATACTGACAAAGACACAGAAACCTAGGACAGTAGTACAGAAAGACAACTCCAGGGAACCTTGAACACACATACACATACACACACACAAATGCACAGAAACCTGGGAGAGGAGGCCAGAAAGACAACTCCAGAAAACCTCAGATAGAGAGACACATAGAGACCTGGGACAGTAGGATAGAAAGACAACTTCAGGGAACCTTGAACACACACACTCACTCACACACACATACACACACAGATCTGGGACAATAGCACAGAAAGCCAACTTCAAGAAACCTTGGATACACACATAGAAATAGACAAAGACACAGAGACCTGGGACAGTAGGACAGAAAGACAACTCCAAGAAACCTTGAATACACACATAGAAATAGACAAAGACACAGAGACTTGGGACAGTAGGATAGAAAGACAACTCCAGAGAATTTGAAACATACACACACACACACACACACACATATTGACATAGACAAGACATAGAGACCTAGGACACTAATATAGAAAGACAACTTCAGGGAACCTTGAATATACACAAACACAGATCTGGGGCAATGGTACAGAAAGACAACTCCAGGAAACCTTAAAACACACACACACACACACATACACACACACAGACCTGGGATAGTAGGATAGTAGGAAACCTGGAACACACAAAGACACACAGACACACCTAGACAAACACAAAGACCTGGGACAATAGACCAGAAAGACGACTCCAGGGAATCTCAAACAGACAGACAGACAAACACACAGACACCTGGGACAGTAGGATAGACAACTCCAGGGAACCTTGAACACACACAGACATAGACAAAGACACAGAGACCTGGGACAGTAGGACAGAAAGACAACTCCTAGGAACCTCAAACAAACACACACACCACACACACACACACACACAAACCTAGACAAATACACACAGATCTGGGACAGAAAGAGCAACACCTCTTTCTTCTTCCCTCTCCAACCCCCAATCAACAAGGGAACAGAAAGACATCCACTGCCAGGACAGGGCAGGAGGAACAGGGAGCCTTTCCTCAAGGACTCAGTCATAGGACAAAAAGATTTCCACTACCCCCACCCCCATCCCAAGACCTAAATAGAGAGTAAGAGACTTTCACTTCCAATCACAGATGGGGACAGAAAGATAATCCCCACAGGCCCAAGTCCAAAACAGGAACTAGAAACCTCCCATCAGGCAGTGATTTTGCTGCCCTTACCCCAACCTAGTCTCCAACCAAAATCCAGGAGGGTACAGAAAGTCTCCCCCCTTCTCCCCTCTCACCTTCAGATGGGGACAAAGAAAGTATCTTTGCCTCAGGACTCTCTCCCCAGGACCTAGTCCCATAACAGATATCTCCTCCACACCCAATACTTGAGACAGGCCCAGTCATGGAGAACAGCCCAGAACAATAGAACATTTCTGTAACTTTTACAGAAAACTCAAAGCCTCTCTTGTCCTTGACCTCAGGTTTCAGCACTGTGGACAGCGACAGCTCTGGGACAAGTCAGTCCAACAATTTCTACTCCATTCTTCTGCATTTATAGCTCTGCCTTCATTCTTATCCTCCCAGTTACCCTTTCCACCTATGAACTTCCTATTTTACTTCTAAAAGTGTGTTCCATTGGCTATATTCTGCTAGCCCTATAACAAGAATCAGGGATTATTGTTTCCATTTTAGAGGAAACAAGTCTAAAGAATGGAAGCAACTAGCCCAAAATCACCCTTGAATATGTTGAGTGGGTCCTCTCACCCGGTATATTTAACCCACCTCTGCCCTTGTATGTCACTCCATTTTTACACAGTGGAGAGGATGACCCTCTAATGGAATAGTTAATTAATTGGGAAAAATAAATGAGATGGTAATTAAGTCCTCTTCCATCTTCCCCAATTTTTCCAAGGTCCAGGCCTTAGAAAGAGTAGGAGAGCAGGGCCTAGGGTAAAACAATGGCCACTTGGAACCCTGGATTCTATTCCACCTTTCTTGGGAGACCTGGAGGGGGGGAAACCCCAAGATAGACCAAAAAATCTGATGGAGTCCCAGGATCACGGAGTAGGTACAACTAGGTCCTCCTACCCCAAACACTCTCCACTCCAACCCTCTTTCATGATGCCTTCTTTGTTTTTCCTTACAGAGCTCATGGTCATTGCCATTTTCTCACCTTAATCAGCTTTGCCCTAAACTCATTGAGGTTCTCTCATCCTAGCTTCTGAGATAGATGCATGAACACACACAAATATAGACATAATGTAAACATATAAGAATATGTACATGGATAAACCTGCCACACAATTGCATGCATATTTATATACATAGCTGAATGTGTCTTACACTATAGGGAACACCCTCCCCCCCAAATATGTAAGCAGGCACCCCATTCATGCCAGACCTAGTCTTCAGGGTGGATGTAGAGAGAGGGACGAGATGAACTCTGTGACCTCAAAGGTCCCTTGCTGCTCTGAAGTGTATAAATCTATGATTCTACAATACACAAAGCTGGCCCCATCACCTACATGTGTATATATACACATGGATGTACAAACCTTTCATGAACATGCACACTTCTTCCTACTTTGGGGAAAACAGGAAGCACAGCCAGCAAGGAAAAACAGTGATTAGGGGAAGAGGATGAGAGGGAAAAGGGGTACAGCCACACAAGACACTGTAGCTTTCCCAGACATGGATCTTTTATACCCCAGACCCCAGGACTCTGAGAAAGAAAGAAAAACTCCTCATAAAAGGGCTTGGGGAAGAAGTTTCTTTGAAGCTCAGATTTTTGGTCCCAACAATCTCTAAGCACTTTCACAGGCATGTGCATCTGGACGTGAGAGAGTGCGTGTGCATCTGGACATGAGGGAGTGTGTGTGTGTGTGTGTGTGTGTGTGTGTGTGTGTGTGTGTGTGTGTGTGTGTGTGTAGAGCAGGAGGATTGAGAGTCATTGGGCAGGTGGGGGCCTGGGTCCCTTCTCTAGTCCCACATGAACTATTCTTAGATATGGGAGTGGAGTGGGGCAGAGAAAGGCAGCAAAGGCAGGGCATACATGTACACACTCACACACCCATTTACACTGTCACACAATAACATCTCCTAACAGATACACTATGGACCACAGTCTAACAAACATTAGAAAAGCTCAGAGCTCAGACCACACAGAGCAGTTAGTCCAACCACACTGTCACACACAGAGGTGCACAGTTACAAAGTTTTGTGGAGAGGTAGACATCGAGGGCTCTCATGGACACAATACGGTCCCATGCAATCACATACATCAGCCACCGAGCTACCCTCAGACATACAACAACACGCTCTGTCACATGGACGTCGCTGTCAGTCACCAGCTGAGGGCACATGGCAACCGGCTCTGGGGAAGCTCCGTCTTCAGTGTCACCGAACGGGCTAGCTGGCACACTCACACACGCACAAACACACACACACACACACACACACACGACGACCGTTTCACACGTGTGCCTGCTCCTGCTGTCTGTCTCCCTCCCCCCACTCCCGTGGGATCTACTTAAAGGGACCCAGGCCCACGGCTCCGATGACCCAGCCGGGGGGCAAAGGAGAGAAGGGGGTGCTCAGGGTCCGGGGTCTAGGGGTCAGAGCTCCGAGCACCCCGCGCCCACTGCCCCCAGCGGGGCCCTGAGCTCACCCGTGAGCTGATCGTAGGAGCCGTCCAGGTCTCGGGAATCGGACAGACTCTCCTTCCGGGCCTGGCCCCGCATGGCCCCCGCTCCACTGCCCGCCCCGGCTGGGGAAGGGGCGCGGGGGCCGGGGCAGTCCCTCAGCGCCCCCTGACGGTGAGAGCGCGCCGGCCGGTCTCGGGTCCGAGGCTGGAGGTCCCGGCTGCGGGACGCCCCCTGTCGGTCCCGCGCCCCGGCTCCCGCGCGGCCCTCGGCCGGGCAGCCGGGGCCCGAGGCTGTCCTCAGTCCTGGAAGAGAGTCAGGCTGCCGGGGAGAGCGGAGCCGGAGCCGGAGTCAGCCCGAGCCGCCCAGATCCTCCCGCCCCCTCCCCGCGGCTGTCACCGCCGCCTCCCTCCCTCAGCGCTGCTGGGATTGGTTTCCCCAGTCCCCCCACCTCTACAAGACTGCCCGGGGGAGGGGGCAGAGGACCGCGGGGAGGTGGGAGGTCTTTAACGCCCCCGCTCCCCAAATCGTAGGCACTCGAGCCGGGAGGAAAGACGTGTGCCCCATGGGAGGCTCTCCCTTCTTGTCCTGCCTCCTCCGAGGCCCCCTCCTCCCCAAGGAAGCCTCAGGTACCTGCTTCCACCTCAGCGGAGGCGACCCGGGCGGAGGGGCGGGATGGGGGGGTCGCCGGGGTCTCCTTTCTTTTCAAGGGAAAAAGGTTTCATATCCACCAGTTCTCTCTTTTTCTCTCTGTCTCCATGTCTCTGCCTTGTCCCTCTATTTCACCCGCTGAGAGTCTCTGTCTCTCTCCCAGTATGGCTTTCTTAGTCACATCCTCCCACATCCCTAGCCAATCCCACCCCCTTCCCGCAGGTATGGAGGTATGTGTGTGTGTGTGTGTGGGGGAAGCAGAGGAAAAGAAGGCCAAGCCTAAGCACTGATTCAGTGCAGACCAGTTGAAGTGGGCATTTTTAAGTTCCTTTTCCCCAAGCTCTAGAACCATCATCTCCCCGCTCCCTGACATACAGCCTGTACTCCAGTCGCTATGCTGGAGAATGCTTCCCAGTCTGACACCACATGCAGAGATTAAAGATAGCGGGAGAAAAGTGAGTGAGCCTCACGTGCAGTATCTCAAAAGTTGTCTGCTTTGAATTCTTTCTCAAAGAGAACTCCTGATATGTGCCCCATACTTTACCATATTCCAGCATCTGCAACTGCTGTATCTGGGAAGGAGCAGTGAGACGGAACTAGTGAGCCAGACAATGGGGAAAGAGAGAGGTCCTTGTTCCCTCCAGCTCAACCTGAAGGGGCATGACTAGTTTTCCCGAGTTCTCACTCTAAGATGATGCTTTTGCATCCTTGGTTCTGGACCCAAACCTTCCACAGTCTCTGCTGTCTCCTGCAGTTTAACTCTCCTGATGTTTGAATTTCCACTGGATCTCCCTTGGAGAGTACCAGCTGCCATAATTTCTAACCCCTTAAGTGCAACTGGAGACCTTCAGTCCATCTCTGGGGTCCCCTGGCTTGGACATAGGGGCAACGTTCCTCAGGGCCAGACTCCCTGTTTAGGGGTAGCTCCCCGGGGGAAGAAGTAAAAGACATCGGAGTTCTTTACTGTTAAGACCTGGGGTTCATTTAATCTTTTCAATTGGATTCAATTTCTATCCACTTGATTCAATTAGCCCTGGAGGAACTGTGCTTGGGAATGGGGGGGGGGAGGGAAGAGAAAGGTCAGAAAAGGGAACTGCAAGTAGGAAAGGGGGAAGCGGTGGTTCAGGCTCCTGTTCTCAGCTACCATGGAAGCCCAGACCTAGGATCACCTCAGTTGGGGCAGTCAGCTTAGCCCTTTGGCTACTAATGGGTCTGACTTCCACACCAGAGCCTCCATTATTTTCTTTCTCTTCTCCAGATGAAGGGTGCGTGTGGGAGGGGGGCAGGGAAAGGCAAAGAAGAGAGCAGGGTGAGAGGAGAAAAGTATCTGTGCCCTCAAATATAAATGGAGACCCAAGAAAACTGAGTTATTGATGAGGATGAATAGATGTAAGGGACTTTAACTGTAAGACAGGTAAGTCCAAACTTCTTCCACCTTAGGGAGGTAGCTCTCTTAAGCCTGCTGCTGACCTCCAAATCCCTGGTATGAGACTGTCCCCAGGGCTGACAGACTTTCCCCAGACCTCATTCCAGCAGAGGGGAGAGGAAAGCCGTTCTTGAACAAAAGGTAGGAGTCCTGGGAAGATTTAGAGCTGGGGCTGTAGAAGCAGAGGTGTATCTGGGGGAGTAGTTACTAGAGCATCTATGGGAAATGAAACCTGGGCAGTAAGGGTTGGAGATTGAGAACCAAAGAAGTTAACCAGTAAAAATCAATTTCTAATAACTATATGCAGACTTCCCCATTGGCTTCAGCTTGTTCCTGCAGCATCTGATTATCATTCTCGGAAACAATGAAGCCCTCCTCTCCCTGAAGTTAAGCCAATGACCAGAACTCTGAAAGCCTCAACTCTTTCCTAGCTACAGGGGGAATCACTGGCAGATTCACTTAGCCTTAGCACAAAAGGCCCCATTCCCTTTGGTTTCAAACTAATCTGAGCACCCAAGGGGCTTATTTCCCAAAGAAGGCTGATATTCCCCTCACCCACCAAGCAGAGGTGTAGCAGTTGCCCGAGCTAGGATAGTACTTTGGTGTTCCCGTCAGCCCCAACCACCCCTCCTTTGGAGGTGGGGTTTTGGTTCCTGGACACATAAATAGGCTAGGCAGGGCAGGCAAACAGGAATGAAGCCAACCCCTACACAACAGCCCTCCTCCTACCCCTAAGCCTCCTAGTCTCTGGGATGGGGGAAACAGCTATTCTAGGGCCTTGGGTGGGCATGGGTGGGGATAGAGATGTGTGTAAAAACAAAGTGAGGACCAATATAATCCTAGACTTCCAAACCATAGCTAAGGGTCGGAGTAACAAGGGTAGGCTCTATCAAAAATAGAATGTTAGTCCCTCATTTGCCATTTTCTTCCCCTGGATCTCCTCCCACTACACTGGGAGGAAGAAAGGAAATGCAAGCATTTCTCTTCTATTTCTCCTTCCCAGATCACACTACAGGGTGAATAATGAAGAATCCAGCTAACTTATCCATTCAGCCATGTTTGCTCAGAAGCAGTATGGCAGATCTTGACTAGGGAGCACAGAAGGTGAGAACCTCACTCATACTTCTACCTTCTGTCCTAACAGATTTAGAAAGTGAGGACATTCAGCTTAGTAACTAACAAAGAAAATGGCAATACAGGACAAAAACTATCTAGGATTATTTTACAGAAGGGGCTGGAGAAGGAAAAGAACAAAGGGGAAGAGATAGGAATAGGTCTGGAGATGTTTCAAGTATTGGTTAAATTTCTCTGAGGACTAGGAGATTTCTATCTTCTCCCCCACCCCCCAATACCCAAATACTCTCCTGGTCTAGACTTGATGAGGAAGGGAGCCTGGGTAGTTCACACTAAGGCTTGCTAAAATTTCCCTAAGGCTGGGATTTATATCTGGTGCTGAAGAGTTATTGTCCCAAGAGTCCTTAGGCTGGTTGAAGGACTCAAGTGTTATCCCCTCATAAATACCCTTTCCCTGGCAGGGTCTCTCTTTCCCTCCTGCTGGCAGATCACAGCAGGAACAGATCCCTCCCCAGAGGAATTTCTCAGCCAAGCTGGATGTAAACAACAGACGGACAGCGGGGGAAGGAGCACGTGTTAAACACATGGGTGGCATAAGGCACTGCTTTATGAGGGGGTCCTGGGTGAGATGACTGCTGGAACAGAGGGGAGGAGAGGAAAAGAAGCACCTGAGGAATTCAGAAAACCTCTCAATGTTTATTTCACATCCACAACCTAAAGACACAGAGTTTAAAACAGATTAAAAAAAAAACAAAACTAAGTAGTGACCTTATATGCTGCTGGGCAACAGCCTGGCTGGTGGAGGTGGGGGGGGGGGTTCCAGCCCCCAAATCAAGGCACAGCCTAGGAATTCAGAGGACAGACTCCAAGGCCCCACCTCTGCCAGAGACAATCCCCAGGATGGGGATATGGTACCGCCAAACTGTTAGGTTGGGGGATCTCAGCCTCAGGATAGAAGGAAACAAGGTCCTTTCCCTCCCCAATCCAGAATGAGGAAGCCAGTTCCTCGACTATGTGCCCTCCATACTGCAGCAGAGCCCACTGGTCTCCACTGGCCAGTGCACCTCAGCACCAAATTTCAGCTAGACCATCCCTTCATATCTGAGACCTCAATCCTGGCGGCATTCCTTTTCCTGGAGTCCCTCCCTCCCTCCCACCAAATTACATTATCACCCTGCCCGACCCCATGTCCAAGCCCCACTAGCATCTAGGTGGTCTGGAAAAAAGATTGGTGTTCCAATTCTCCCTCTAGCTTCAATTGCAGGAGAAGGGATGGTCTTTCTCTTTCAACCCTGAACCCTCAGGGAAAGAACACAGCCTAGGGGTTTTCCAAGGGGAAAGGACAATCAATGAGTAGCTTCCTAGACACAGTTTCAAGAGATGGTGGAGAATTCCTTTAGCAGAACCTCCTGGCTCAGGGTATGGAATGCAAGGTTCCTTCGAACATTGGTGCTGATGGACCGGACCTGGAGAAGGAAGACAAGAATTGAGAGAATGACAGTTACAGGGAGGTGGGATTAGGGGTGGAGAATAAGGGAACAGTGGTGGGGTGTGACCTTGGCAGCAGCCTCAGGTTTTTACAGCTTTTGTGAAAGTCTTCCTTCTTATTATTTAACTGGTGAAACTGCTCTCTGGAAGGAATAGACACAAACAACAGCATAGTATGATAGGAAGAGCATTGGATTTGGAGTCAAAGGACCTGAATTTAAATCCTAAGTGTATTACTACATGTGTGACTTGTGGCAAGTTACTTCTGTGGGCCTCAGTTTACTCAGCTGTAAAATGCGGGAGCTTGACTAGATGATGATTTGTAAGGTTCTTTTTAGCTCTAAATCCTATAAGATTGAAAATGATGAAAGGGAAAGAAAAGGGAGGGAGAAGTCAATGTATATGAGCAACATTGGGGCTCAGACTACTGAAGGGAATAAGCATGGACAGAAAAAGCCGGGGCAGTAGGAGGCATGGTGGCTAGAAGACTGGCCCAGGATCAGGAGGACCTGAATTCAAATCTGGCCTCAGATTTGTGACCCTGGACAGTCACCTGACCCTAATTACCTTTAAAAAAAAACAAAAAAGGACAGAAAAAGCAGACGCTAGGTCTTCTCTACCTGTGTTGGGAAGAAGAGCTGGGATCTGACAGGGAAGGTGAAGTTTGATCCAGTTCCAATAAATAAAAGAATAAAATTCTGAGGTCTGCTCTTTTCTAGCCAGGATTCTTAAGCTTTACCTTCCTTTTTGAATCATCACACAAATGAGTACTGGGATGGAAGAAGAGGGTTTGGAGAGAGAGAATGAGGACTGAGGAAGGTTAGGGATTACCTCCTTACTACTTTAGGGACCTAGAAGCTGCTGTAGCTGGACAAACCTCAAATGAGGGATAAAGACTAGCCACCCTTCGGTAAGGTTGAGGATGTTGCTGAGCTCACAAATAAAAGGAGTCTAGAACTCTCTCACCTTGGGAACTCACCCACTTGATCTAGTCTCTGGGACCAGAGCAAGGATCATTTTTCATACCTTTTGGCTAGAGAAAGGTATGTTTTTGGTCAAAGTAGAAATTGCTGAATCCCAAGAAAAAAGAGGAAACTACAGAAGAAGCTATGGGGGCCAGCATTCTCTCCATCATGGAAACAGGACAAG